TAGAGAGAATGGATCAAAGTAGAATGACATGGAAAGCATATACAGTGGACCCCCGGTTAACATTATTTTTTAATTCCAGAAGTATGTTCAGGTGCCAGTACTGACCGAATTTGTTCCCATAAGGAATATTGTGAAGTAGATTAGTCCATTTCAGACCCCCAAACATACACGTACAAACGCACTTACATAAATACACTTACATAATTGGTCGCATTGGGAGGTGATCGTTAAGCGGGGGTCCACTGTAAATCTATAGGGGAAGGAAGGTGGGGTAGGGGTCGTCCTCGAAAGAGTTGGAGAGAGGGGGTAAAGGAGGTTTTGTGGGCGAGGGGCTTGGACTTCCAGCAAGCGTGCGTGAGTGTGTTAGATAGGAGTGAATGGAGATGAATGGTACCTGGGACCTGACGATCTGTTGGAGTGTGAGCAGGGTAATATTTAGTGAAGGGATTCAGGGAAACCGGTTATTTTCATATAGTCGGACTTGAGTCCTGGAAATGGGAAGTACAAGGAGGGGTTTGGGATAGTGGCAGTTTGGAGGGATATGTTGTGTATCTTTATACGTATATGCTTCTAAACTGTTGTATTCTGAGCATCTCTGCAAAAACAGTGATAATGTATGAGTGTGGTGAAAGTGTTGAATGATGAAGGTATTTTCTTTTTTGGGGATTTTCTTTCTTTTTTGGATCACCCTGCCTCGGTGGGAGACGGCCGACTTGTTGAAAAAAAAAGAAAAAAAAATACAGAAAACAATGACAAATAAATATAAAGCACTAATAAAATGGATAAATGAACATTTAACATCACACTTAGCTTTATTGACTTATCTTTACTGACTCGACTTGTTGGTGTATAACAGGCACGTAGGAGGCAAGAGGAAGACAAGTTTATTATGCTTTAATATGACACTACAGCTTATTTATCTATCACAATTCATCTAATATGACAATATAAACAATTAATAACAATGAAACATGATATATACTCTAGAATGAATAAAATATGTCATAATGTATGAGGGGAGTAAATGCTGTAAATGTTATTGTTCGGTTTAAGGGCCATCACTGAGAGAAGCCATGTTGGTGGCAGTGGAGGATTTTGCCAGCACCACCATCACACTTAAACAATGTATGTAATTTATAAATAAGAAATATTTACATTTTAATTTATAAATAAGAAATACAGTGGACCCCCGCATAACGATCACCTCCGAATGCGACCAATTATGTAAGTGTATTTATGTAAGTGCGTTTGTACGTGTATGTTTCGGGGTCTGAAATGGACTAATCTAATTCACAATATTCCTTATGGGAACAAATTCGGTCAGTACTGGCACCTGAACATACTTCTGGAGTGAAAAAATATCGTTAACCGGGGGTCCACTGTATTTACATTTTAATTTATAAATACGAAATATTTACATTTTAATTTATAAATAAGTTTATTCAGGTATACACAAATACAGTTACATAGATTATCATACATAGCAGCATATGTGTAAAGTACCTAGGATAACCCAAAAAAAGTCAGAGTGATTTACGTATTTCCATTGCGGTCCTTTTATATTTACACTTAATATATTTACTTTTATGCTTATACTTTTATATTTACACTTACCTTGGAGATGTTAGTTTAATTAGTTAGTTTGATGGAGGAGATGCTGGCAGAGGTTTAGGGTAGTGGAAGATAGCAGGCCAGCAGATATACACACATCCAACAACATTGGAGAATTACTTTAGTGTCGTTTTTCTATCACTTACTCGCTTAACTTACTTGCTACACTGTTAATTCTACACTTTATCGCTGGCTGGCACTATAGCCTTTATCGATGCCTGCTGCTTTAGTATCGTACATATCGTAGAATCAATGAATCATTGCAGAAGGCACATTCTCCCCTCTCTCTTCCTCCTCCACTTTGGTACTTTGCTACAAGTTTTTTCTTAAATTTTATTGTTTCTTTCCTTCTTTATCACAGGGCTGGCACTAGAAACTTTCTTTGGGCTCATGGTGGCTTATTTAGCAGTTAAAAGCACTAAAAACACTGGAATACAAAATATAATGCAGGTACACTTGGAATCGACCAAAACGGCTTGTAAACACTGGCACACTGGCTGTACATGGAGTCTTGAAGTGGCTGGGCCTGCTCAGGCTGCGCTCTGGCCCCATGGACAAGTTCAGGACGAACGCCGTTAGACGAGTTTTTCGCCGTTGGTAGAGCCATTTTTTTATGCCAAAGAGCGCCGTTAGATGAATTTGCCGATGCCGCCGTTAGTGGAGGGTCCACTGTTTAAAACACTAATAAAATGTATAAATGAACATTAAACATCACACTTACCTTTATTAACCCTTTGGGGGTTTCGGACGTACTAGTACATCTTACGACCCAGGGTTTTTGACGTACTAGTACGCCTAAATTCTAGCTCCTTCAAATCTAGTGAGAGAAAGCCGGTAGGCCTACATATGAAAGAATGGGTCTATGTGGTCAGTGTGCGCAGTATAAAAAAAATCCTGCAGCACACAGTGCGTAATGAGAAAAAAAAAAACTTTGACCATGTTTTTGGATTAAAACAGCGACTTTGCACTGTATTTTCGTATGGTATTTATTGTTGTATTCTAGTTTTTTGGTCTCATTTTATAGAATGGAAGACATGCTACAGAAACTGAGATGATTTTAACTGGTTTTACAATGAAAAGTACCTTGAAATTGAGCTCAAAGTAGCAGAAATGTTCGATTTTTACCAAAGTTCAAAAGTAAACAAATCATGCTATGCGTCCAATACACGTCAACTGGTGAGTCTAATATTCTTTCACAAGTGCGCTGATATTATTTATACCATTTCTACACTAATGCAGTAGTCTGCATAACAGTAAATCTTATTTTTTTTGTAAGAATAAAAATTCAAAGTGGAAAGCCAAAGAAATATAAGAGGGGTCTGGGGATGTGACTAACGAACAGAGAACTTGTTATTTTAGTGCCAGGAATGTCTTTCTTGTTTATTCTGGACCCTATTCGGAAATTGGCATCTTTTGAAATTTGTGTGAAATTGGCAAAATTGCTAAATTCTGACCATTTTATTGGATAGTTGAAATCGGTAAATGGGTGGTTTCTTGTACACATTCGATAGAAAAAATGGAGTTCTAGCGAAATAGTAATGGATTTTGTCGATTAGTACACTGGAATTGGCCGAAAATAGGGCTCAAAGTGGGCAAAATAGCCGATGCTTAAACATCGTCAAGACCGCTAACTTCGCGAGAGCATAATTCCATAAGTTTTCCATCAAATTTCATACTTTTGGTGTCATTATGATCGGGAAAAGATTCTCCATCTTTTCACAAGAAAAAATAATTTTTTTTTTTGAAATTTGCCCGACCCTGAGAACAAGTCTCTGAGAGGACCTGTCGACCCCCAAAGGGTTAAAGACTCCTGTTGGTGTATGGCAGATTGGGAGAAGGGGAGAGGGAGGCGAGTTTATTGGAGACATGATAATATATTCTTCAATACGACACTAATATCAACTCCATGGCTTATTTATCTATCACAATTCATCTAATATGACATAATAAACAATATTAATAACATAAAAACATGACATATACTCTAGAATGATTGAAATATGTCTTTATGTATGTCGCAAAAGGTGTTGTGTTGTTGGGTGTATAAAGGCCACTTAGGGCATAAGCCGTACATAGTGGTGGTGAAGGCAGCAGCAGAGGTGGCAGTGTTCTTAGTAGCCCTATATAACTCCAACAACACTGGAGGAGTTAAGTTCGTGCTGTCTTTTTCTATGGATTAATCGCTTAACTTACCTGCTACACTGTTAATGCTACACTTTATCGCTGGCTGGCGCTATAGCCTTTATCGCTGGTGCTATGGATTTATCGACTCGTGCTCCTTTAGTATTGTACATATTGTAGAATCACTGAAGGCGGCACATTCTCCCCTCTCTCTTCCTCCTCCACTCTGGTACATTGCTACAATTTCTTTCTTTAATTCTATTGTGTTCCTCACTTTCTTTACCAAAGGACTGGCACTAGGAGCTTTCTTTGGGCCCAATGTGGCTTATTTAGCAGTCATACACAATAAACAAGTGCCAAAAACAATGGATTATGAAATGTTTTGTATGACCTGGCAGGATACATTCACTCACCGAGAAACAACACGACACTGCCTGAGAATGCATGTGGGAGGCGGCTTTGTTTGAGCACTGGGCACTGGACAGATTCCATACCATCGACAAAAACGAAGGAAATAGAGAGGATGGAGAAAAATAGGATGACTTGGAATGCATGCAAATCTAGGATGGAAGGAAGGAGGGGTAGGGGTCATCTAAGGAAAGGTTGGTGAGAGGGTTAAAGAATGTTTTGGGTGCTAGGGGCTTGGACATCAAACAGGCCAGTGTGAGCTTTTTAGAAAGGATTGGAGGAAAGTGATTTTTATGATTTGATGTGCTACTGGATTGTGAGCAAGGTAACATTCATAAAGGAATTAGGGGGAAACCAGTTAGCTAGTCATGAGCCCTGGAAGTAAGAAGTACAGTGCTCACACTCTGAAGAGGGACAGGGATGTTGCTGTCTGAAGAGCCATCTGAACTGTGATATCATCACACTTCGACAAGACAGTGATTGAATGAATGACAGTGAGAGTGTTTTCCTCTGTTGGGTCACACTACCTTGGTGGGAGACAGCCATCATGTTAAAAACAATATTCTCTTGTGAATTTCAGTCCTAGGCAAAGGAAAAAGGCATCTTTACCCATCCAGTTCCATTATGGACCCCAAAAGTGGAGCTATTTGTTGTGGGAAATGTATTATCTGGGGACATGCCGGGATGCACCGTACTTGTATATGTATAATGTTCAGCATGTTTATCATAAAGCAGAAGTAAAAAATACTTAATTACTTTCAGGTAAACTGTATGTGTGGATACATGAAAAGATAAAAACAAATTACTTGTAGGTACACTTCATGGTAGATACATGTAAATAGGATAAGTCAAAATACAAATTACAGTATTAGTGTCTATTTCAACTGCCAAAGGTAATTTTAACTACTAACATTGAGACTAGGAGTTGATACCTTACAGGTGTGCAGTAGGGCCCCAACTTACAATGTTCCAATTTAGGACATTTCAAAATTATGGAACAAACTAATACTTATGAACACTGATCTACAGTTGCGATCACTGCAAATTCAGTAAATAAATAAATGATTTTAAAAAATTATTCTTAGTTTTTTACCAAATGCATTCACACTGTGTATATTCTTTTTATTCATGTTCAGAGAGCTCATATTTGTTTGGTAGAGACTGCTTAAGAATCATACATTGAATATTTACATTTTTCTTACTGTTTAATTATTTTTTCAAGGTGGTTAGTTTTTACCAAATATATTCATATTATGCTTATATTTAGTCTAAGCATGTATAGAGCACTCATATTTGTTTTATAAAAACTGATCAAGAATGAGTTAATATAACTTTCTTAGGCCTAAATTATAAATATATTATTTGCCAAATGCATTGGTAGTTTGAATATTTTTTATGCATGTGTGCAGAGCTCATGTTCATTTTTGGTAGAGATTGGATTTGATCTGTAAATCTAGTGGCTCCATGTACTGAACATGTTCAGTGGGCGAGGCAAGGGACCTCACATTACACTCTCCCTCACCACTACCTTCCCATACTGCATACCCACCTACCCACATCTCTGCCCCTTCCTTTCTTGTCCCTCTATCCCTCCCTCCCTTCAAGTTACAGTCTGCCCTACACCTATGTACTGTATATTCTATACTATAACTCTCTTCCTAGTTAATTAACATGTAAAAAAGGTAAGAGTACCTAATGAAAAAAAGAATGGGTAAATATTCCTACTGAAAATAAATAAATGAAATTAGATATAGAATATTACAGCTTGAGAACACATCTCTGATTACTCCATGACAGTGTGGGGAAAACATATTCTAAGCACTGAACATGTGACTTGCAATCAATTTTAATAAACAAATTAATGTTGTAAGTTGGGGCCCAACTGTGCACCTACAATAAATATATTTGTCACTGACAAAATGCTGTGTACACAACATACAGATACAAGGACTAATAATACAATTTTTAATGGTAGTGCTACATATTACAGTACATGGTCAACTCTAATATTAAATGCAATTGTGTGTCTTTAAATAAAAGTTACACTATGACAAAACCCAAAGTGAAGTATAAAAACAAATTATAAATGAAATAAGTGACCCCCCTCAACAATTGGAAAACTTATCTAGTAAAGAGAGGCAAGTCAAGCACTACCAAAGCCCAATCTACATACATAACTCTTTTAATTAATGCTCAACTAATAAAAAATAACAAGTGCTATTCGACACAAACAACAAACTCGTTGGTCCACATCTGTCAAAATTTTAGTTCAAAAAATTACTCTACTGTAATTTTTGCTTAAGAAAATTTAAATATTTTAGCAAATAAAAATCTGCTTTTCATATAAAAATAAATTGTACCAATTAAACAGCAAGCCAGCCAACCTGTCAGTCCACACATGACCAATTAAACAGCAAGCCAGCCAACTTGTTGGTCCACACATGACCAATTATGTACAACTTAAAATCACTGGCTCTTCATGGAGGTAAGTTTGCGGCTTCTTGCTCTGTTTTCTGTGCGGGCATGTGTGTATTCAAACCACAGAATATTTGGGATCAGGGAGGTGTCACGAATCATGAACCGCTCACACACACTCCTGAAATGTTAAATTAATAAAATACATTAAGAATTTCAGTAATTAGCCCTTTCAGGCTCCAAAGGCAAAATCTGAAGGGGTGCCCCAGTGTCCAAGAAATTTTGAAAAATAAAACAAAAAAAAAAAACTTACAGAATTAAGGATTATACTTTTTGTGAAGGTAATAAAACAAAAAAAAAGAATTTCTGATCGGTGCTTACCGAGATACAGAGGCGAGAATTTAACCCAAAATGACTGGGTGGCGGCAACATCAGCAATTTCCATAAAATCGCATTTCTTTTTTTTACGTTTTTTATACTTTTTACTTTTCTTTTCTAATTTTTTCTTTTTCTAGTAACATTTGTGGCCTATGAGACCAATACTGTATATAATGTATATATATATACACCCACTGTATTGAACACAATAACTGCACTAAAGTTATTATTATAATATTGTTTACCACAATATAATATAATATTGTTTACTACAATAAACATGCACAAATGTTGTATAATACTAATGTTCTATTATATATTTACATATGTACAGTCACTGGACATGTTTTTAGAACTGCTGCAGCTTATGGAAGTCCTTGAAACAAGGTATCATGCACAGAGGTACCTTACATTCCTCACACAAAGTGAGTGTCTTTGTGTCTTTGTTGCCGTCGTTTTGTTTGTGCACAGACAACACATCTCTTCTGAGCAAATTTCTTCTTAGTTGCAGGAAGCTGAATTATGAAGTGATCACCTTCCCTCCTCAAACACTTGGGTATCTCCTGAGGAGTTCGAGGACAGTTTTGTGTAGCAGGTATTGTTACCTGGTACTTCATTATGAGTTGTCTGACAACAGACAAACAAAATTCACCATACGGTGGTCTGTTGCCGGTCTTCATTTGGTACATATTATTTGCATTGAGCATTGAAATGTCCATGAGATGGAAGAAAAGTTTCATGTACCAATTGTAACTCTTACGAACACAATCAACAAAGCCTATCTGCATGTCACATCTGTCAACCAAATGCATGTTTTGTGTACAGTCAATCACTGTCACTGGTTTTCGAGTGTGTTCATTAGTCACTATCAACTTTGCCACTGTCTTGCATTTTGTTAGGGCGAATGGCTGTCAACAATGTGACATCTCGTTTGTCATGCCACCATAATGCCATGATGTCATTGGCAGTAAACACCTGCACATCACCACTACGAGTGCCTGCGTTGAACCTGGGCATATGTTTACGATTAGAATGCACTGTGCCACACATATGTCATGTTCATTCGCAAGAAATCACTGAGTAAAGGGTTTGCGTACCAGTTATCAGTATATAATGTATACCCCTTACCAAGATAAGGTGCCATCATGTTTCTCACTACGTCACCTGAGATACTCAATAACATCCTGGTATCTTTCAATGTTTTACTTCCCGTGTATACAATAATATCCAATACCAGGCCACTGTCACAGTCACAGAGTACAAACAGTTTTATACCAAAGCCTTTCCTCTTGCTCGGTATATACTGCTTGAATGACAGTCTACCTTTGAACAATATCAAAGACTTGTCAATTACAAGATTCTTGAATGGATAAAAGTACACGTTGAACTTTTGTTTCAGATACATAAAAACATTTCTAATCTTATATAACCTGTCACTTCTGTCAGGCCTGGTTTTGTCAGAGAAGTGCAACATACGTAACAGTAAGATAAACCTGTTCACTGGGATGATTTCACTGAAGGCTGGGGAACAAATTAGCCAATCTGTGGATCAGTATGATTTCATATTATGCTTATAGACATGAAGCTTAAGCATTATTGTTGCAAAAAGCAAATATATTTCAGCCGCAGTTGTCTCTTTCCACTGGTGTAGTCTTGACTGTGGTGATATGATTGTATTTGCCATGGTGTACTCAAAATACTTGTTACTTTCCCTGACAATAGTTTCCATCAAGGGCTGATCAAAGAATAGTTCAAAGAATTCCAGTTCATTTGCAGTATTTCCAAGGGAACAAGTTAATAGGATTCCACTTTGGGAGTCATCAAACTGGTGGGGCTTGGGAACAAACTTGGGATTTTGCTGCCAATCCCAGATGCGGTTTGCTGGTGGATACTGGACATCATAAGCTGGTTGTGGTTGTAGCTGCAGTTGTGGTGGGGTGGTGGCTGACACTCTGCTTTGTCCTTGAGCTGAGGAGTCAGAGGCGTGGGTCCCAGCCTAGGCTGGTGAGTCATGCATGGCCATGGCACTACCACCACCACTACCACTATCGCCACCAATACCACCACCTACTGATGCCTGTGGTCTATCCATGCCAGTGCAGCCACATCATCCTCACTTTCACTGTCTATTCCTGGTGTAGGGCCACGGGATGTACTCCGGGGTGTACTTCATCCCCTGGGCACTGCACAGGGAACCCTACCCGAACGCATGCAGCAGCGTATATACCGACACTTCACTGGTGAATATGATTCCTCACTATCACTAATCAAATGATCATCAAGAGCAATAAAATCACAGTCCACATCACTATCATCATCATCATCACTGAAGTCTGAAGCCTGGCCACGCGAAAATATTAGTTTTCTCTTGCGACGAGGTACAAATGAACGTGACCGAGACGTGCCCACACCAGAGATAGAAGGTTAAGGATCATCAGTATTTTCTGCACTATTTCCGATATCATGGTCATTGCTTTCGGTCACTAATTGATCAAAGCCATAGAATTCTTCATTTCCACTTCCATCAGAGTCAGGACTATCAGTTACGAAGAGGAGAGTCCCAATTCTCCTTAGAGAGACAGCTGCCTTGCGACAAGGCATGGCGAACAAAGGTAACTGAGGCGGCGTTCCCACAATGCCATGCGGGTGCCTAGAATTTTTGTTTACGGCGCGCACACACCACGCAGACCCATTCTCTCAGATGTAGGCCTACCAGCCTTCTCGTGCTAAATTTGACGCCGCTAGAATTTTGGTGTAGATTTGCGGTTTGAACCCTCAACATATAGCCATAGATCTACGGCACGGACCCTGAAAAATTTAAGTAACTGGGAATCAATTACTGTTACTCACTAATAGATATGAAAATATGGGTTAGAATTAGTACTAAAGTTAAAAATGTATGAGGTACTGGGTAAGATTCAATGAGAATTTTACTCTTTAGCACTTTGTTTAGTACCTTAAGGGTGAATTCTACTATACTACAGCACTGTACATGATTGATATTGTGTTGAGATATGGCTTAACGAGGTTCAGTCAAACCAGTGAATGAGAGGAAACATGCTAGCTCATGATCATTTTTTTCAAACCTATGACCCGTGTCTGATAATTTTACCATGATAATGCCATCATGAGTAAAGCACTGTTTTATTGTTGCATTGTTATCATGCTTAATGGACAATCGACAATAACGTACACCCCTCTCACTCCCATTAGATTTCACTGTACAGGTGGGTTCAGTTCATACAGCTCTTAAGGTTCACAATCCCAAATGATAAGCAAAAATTGCTAGGTTCTCTACACATATGCTGCTATGTATGATTATCTATGTAACTGTATTTGTGTATACCTAAATAAACTTACTTACTGCTCCTGCCTGTCCCAGCTACTGGACTAGTACAACAAGGTCCTGGATGCTCTACAAGACAAACAAAATGTAGATAGTATACACAAACTTTACAAAAGACTTCGACAAGTGTGACCATGGTTTAATAGTGCACAAAATGCATGATAGAGGAATAACAGGAAAAGTTGGTAGATGAATCTATAATTTCCTAACAAATAGAACACAAAGAGTAGTAGTAAATAGAGTAAGTCTGAGGCGGCCACGGTGAAAATCTCTGTTCTACAATATATAGTACTTGTCCCCATCCTGTCCTTCATCCTCATATCTAACAGACAGGGATGTAAGCCACAGCACTGTCTTCCTTTGCAGATGACACCTGAATTTGCATTACAGTGTCCTCCATTGAAGACACTGCAAGACTCCAGGCAGGCATCAACCAAATCTTTAACCCTTTCAGGGTCCAAGGCCCAAATCTGGAGTCACGCACCAGTGTCCAAGAATTTTCAAACAAAAAATTTGTTATTTTTTCTTATGAAATCGTAGAGAATCTTTTTGTGAAGGTAATAAAACAAAAAGTACGAAATTTGGTGGAAAATTGACGAAATTATGCTCTCGCGAATTTTGATGTGTCAGCGATATTTACGAATCGGCGATTTTGCCGACTTTGAGTCCCATTTTAGGCCAATTACATTATTCCAATCAACCAAATTCTTAGCTATTTCACTAGTATTACTTCTATTCTATCGATTGAGCACAAGAAATTGCCAAGTCAACTGTTTCAACTACAAAATAAAATGATCGGAAATTGTTAATTTGGCCAATTTAACACAAAGTTCAAAATATTCCATTTCAAATAGGGTCCAGAATGAACAATGTAGGCATTCCTGGCACTAAACTAACATTTCCTCTGTTCATTAGTTATGTTTTGAGGCTTTACAAATAAATTCCATTTTGATTTTTTATTCACATAATGAATTTTTATTCACACCAAAAAATAGAAGATTTACTGTTAGAAATCTGTAAAAATTGTATAAAATTCATCACCAATTTGGAATGTATATTAGACCCCCCAGCGGGCGTGTATTAGACATGTGAGGTCGTTTTTTATCTTGAATATCGGAAAAAATTTTAACATTTCTGCACTTTGAGCTCATTTTCAAGCCATTTCCAGTGCTAAAACCAAATAAAAAAATCATCTCTATTCTGAATATTCTTCCCTTCTACCCAAATGAGACCAAGAAATCGAAAATAAAACTATAAAAAATACGAAAAAACACTGCAAATTGCGTTTAATCGAAAAAATTTCATTTTTTTTTTCTCATTATACACGTGGGCAGGATCGTTTTTTGGGGTCCCCAACCCCACATAATGTTTCTCTCATATCTGGGCCCAAATTTACCACTCACAGTTTATCAGAGTAGCTGGTCATGGCGTAGCCTACGGTTTGGCCCCTGAACGTA